CAGTCAGTAAGTAAGTAAGTAAGGTTTTATTTATATAGCGCCTTTCACAGAAATAAATTCACAAGGTGCTGTACATTCAGGGGAGGGGGGAGGGGGCAGTTAAGACCGGTCATGCAGCAAATAACAGTTGCGCTACCGTAACAGCAAGACAGAAAAACTAAAAACCACACAAGGGAAGATGAGGAAAAAAGCAAAAACATAATATTATATCAACACTGTGACACACTATGGTGTTTATGATAAAAACCTCTACATAGGGCAGATTTATTAGCCAGAGGAGTAAGTGAGATTAGGGGGCCCAAAGGATCCAGTTCCCAAAACCAGCGCAGCCATAGTTCCGAATATTGATGGAACTGTTCATTCTGTGAGGCTCTCAGCCTGCTCAGGAAACCAGATTAGACGGGTGAGAGAGAGTGGGGTGGGGTATAGGGCAGAGCCTTATTGACATAATTCAGCCAGGAAGAATTTAGTCCAACAGCTCAAGGCCGTTGTAGGGGAGGGACAGACTCTGTAATCAGTTGTTTTGGGAACAGAAAGAGTCAGGCAGACGAATAACAATTTTCCATCTGTTTTAGAGTTCTGCTGGTGCAACTCAAGGTGGCGAATCCAATCAGGCAAATAAAATGTGGACAAATTCCCCCGAGCCGATCTATCAGCTTCTAGAAGATCAATTCCATCTGGCCAGCAAAGTCCAGGGACCACAGCCGGCCCGCGACCCTCAATAGAACCGCTTGCAAACCGAGTCCAGCTCGCTCAAGGCAAAATGTCCGAGTGCTGATAGAATARGGCCACCCCTCGAATTGGTCAGTCAGTCAGGAGATGAAAAGCCACCGACGCTGTTTTATAGAACACCAGGAGACCACCAGGCCAATCTGCAGAATCCAGTGATCGGAATCCAGACATAAATCCTGAACAGAGAAGAACACCTTTGACAAGTCCTCCCATGGAGGAAGAAAAATCTTTGTTCCAAAAATTTTATTGAAAGACCAGCTAACCAAATCCATAAAAATAAAAATATCCATAATTTCTAGTTTCGGCTGAAAAATCTAGAGAAGGCACCAAGCAGCAAAGCAGGGAAGATAAGGAAGGGCAGGGGAGAAGGAAAAAGAGTCTTACTCCTCCGAGAGCGAAAAAAAAAAACATTGCTTGTTTTGTCTCTTCAGGTGGTTGTGAATGCTCTTATAGGAGCCATCCCCTCCATCATGAACGTGTTGCTCGTGTGTCTCATCTTCTGGCTAATCTTCAGCATCATGGGAGTCAACCTGTTTGCTGGCAAGTTTGGGAAGTGCGTGAACAAAACGGGCTTCATCCACAGCATCTCTGTGGTCAACAACAAGTCTGACTGTCTGGCCATGAATGACACTCAGTTCTTCTGGACAAAAGTCAAGGTTAACTTTGACAACGTTGGACTTGGTTACCTTTCCCTCCTGCAGGTGGTAAGTTTCCATGTCCTGAAAAAGTTTGTTTTCCTCTCAAATCGAAATGCTTATTAGATAAATTGTTTATCAGACATGATTTATCATTGGTCAAAACTCTAATTGTCACTTGTTTTATCATTATCTAGTGCAGGGGTGTCCAATCCTGGTACTCTGGGACCACTATCCTGCATATTGTGGAGCAGAGAAACAAGTAAAACATATGTAGCCCTTGAGAACCAGAATTAGACACCCCCAATCTAGTGTTACACCATACCCCTTCAAATTCAATCTGAAGTTGCAAAGAACAATACAGTGAACCCCCACAATGCTGTGTTTTCAATTGCTGATTTGTCCTTAGAACCTGACTAATAATTGTTTCTGGAAACTGCAGCAACCTGTAACTTTGATTCAGTCATTATCTTCACTGTACTGCACAGTTAATTCATCATCATCATCATCATCATCACCAACACAGTCTGCAACCACTGCTATCTGGAATATTTGGTTCCAGTGTGATGGACAAGTCTAAGCTACTGGTGTGGAAAAACAGATTTTTCATTCATGACAGTATAAACAATAACTGGTTCTACTCAAAGACGTGGCTGTGAGCTGGTATGGTACCAAAATATAGAAAACTGAATGGGTTGAAAAATATGAGCCAGACAGAATATAAAGATACTGTATCTACGCAGCACCTGAAGAGACTAAATTTAAATTTTCTGCACTTCTAGAGACTCCATGCACAACAAAGTGTATTTGACAGCTAACAAAGTGAATTTTGCATATGTGCCCTTTAACATTTAAACTTTGGACTGTTGTGGCTGGTTACTGGTTTGATCCCCCGCTTCAACCTCTCAGAAGTTCTGTTCTTGGGCAGGACTCTATCTCCATCAAAGCAAGCTTAGGGATAAAACTTAAAAGGTAAAAAGGGATTCAGTCTTTGTCTCTGAACAAAACTTATTTTAGACTTACCAGCCCTATTAGACAGGTTTAAATTGAAAGATTTTTGTTATTTGGGGGGATTTTGCTGTTTCCTGTGTCATGTAACTTCATGGAACCTGTTGGTGAATTCAAGTATTCGCAATAACGTGCTGTGATGACTTTGTAAGATTGTGTTGTTCTTTTAGGCAACATTTAAAGGATGGATGGAAATAATGAATGCAGCTGTTGATTCAAGAGGAGTAAGTATGGTTAATCTTTGACCGGGTTCACCAGCAGAAATGTTTTTTTAACAATTGATAAACTGATTAAAAAAATTTGTTTCCAGGTGGAGGAACAACCCAGCAGAGAAATTAACCTCTACATGTACCTCTACTTTGTTGTCTTCATCATATTCGGCTCCTTCTTTACCCTCAACCTTTTCATCGGTGTGATCATTGACAATTTTAACCAACAGAAAAGAAAGATGAGTATTTATTGACTGGATTCCATGATGTTTCCAAACAGTTCTCAGCATTTTTTATTCTGAAAGATCAAGTTAGAATTTTGCAACAATACTTAGTAAATCAATCCATACAACACTGTTGTGGAATAAATATTGCCATAACAAACACTTAGTTGTATCTTTCTTCTCTTTAAAATGCAAAACAAAATGCTGCTGTTAATAGTGTTCTTTTTATAACTTATTTATTTATAGTGTGTTATCGTTTCTATTTTGCTTTTATAATTAGGTGGACAGGATATCTTCATGACTGAAGAACAGAAAAAGTATTATAATGCCATGAAAAAGCTGGGAACTAAGAAACCTCAAAAACCCATACCAAGGCCTGCGGTAAAGTGAAACAAATCCTAAATTTAACACATATATGAGAAAATTACACTTTAAAATGTCAACATATAGGTAATATTTACGTGTGAGCAAAATAGCTACATAATTTTAACATTTTTGTTAATGTAACACGCCATTATTCATCCAAACACGGTTTTTAATTAATCTGGTTTGACTTTCCAGAAATACTTATGTAATGTTACAGTGCGTTTGTGCTTGTTTATCGTAGAATATTCTCCAAGCCTTCTTCTTTGATCTGGTGTCCAAGCAAGCCTTCGACATCATGATCATGATGCTCATCATCGTCAACATGGTGACCATGATGATGGAAACCGATGAGCAGTCGGAGCGCATGGAGTCCATTCTCAACATGATCAACCTGGTCTTCATTGTGATCTTCACCACCGAATGCCTGATCAAGATCTTTGCCCTCCGATGTTATTTTTTCACCATCGCTTGGAACATTTTTGACTTTGTGGTGATCATTCTTTCTATAGTGGGTAAGAATGGACACACACCAAAAAACAAAAGGATCAGTTTTAATTGTTTTATAGTAGTACTGCATTCCTACATAATATACAGTATTTACATAAATCTTACAATATGTTCCTAAATGTTCTAGCAAATGTCAAGAAGAATTTGTCTCCATTGTTTTAAAGTTGAACTAACTTTTTCAGGTATTTGATGACCAGTTTGTATTATCAATAAGATGAATTTACCAGTGAAACCAAAAGAGCAATATCCACTAGAGGATTTTTATCAGTTCTAATCCACAACCAAACCTTTTCATGATATATATTATGAGCATTTATGAAACTATTAATCACTGATTTATTGCAAATAAAATAAAAATAAGTGAGCTGAGTTATTTTGTATTGTAACAAATTCACTTTTGCCTGGCTTTCTTTTTAATTTCAGGGATTGTTCTTGCTGACATAATTGAGAAGTACTTTGTATCTCCAACCCTGTTTCGAGTCATCAGACTGGCAAGGATAGGACGTGTGCTTCGACTTATACGTGCAGCCAAAGGAATACGGACTTTACTGTTTGCCTTAATGATGTCCATGCCAGCACTGTTCAACATTGGCCTCCTGCTTTTTCTTGTCATGTTTATCTACGCTATCTTCGGTATGGCGAACTTTGCCTACGTGAAAAAGCAAGATGGGATCGATGACATGTTTAACTTCGAGACCTTTGGGAACAGTATAATCTGCCTTTTTCAGATCAGCACCTCAGCAGGCTGGGACAACCTCCTGAGCCCCATAATGTCCAACTCTCCAGAGGAATGTGACGTTAACTTTATCAATACTGGCACCAATACTCGAGGAAACTGCGGGAACCCGTCGGTGGGCATAGCTTTTTTTGTCAGCTACATTATCATCTCCTTCCTCATTGTGGTAAACATGTACATAGCAATCATTCTGGAAAACTTCAGCGTTGCTACAGAAGAGAGCACAGAACCACTGAGCGAGGATGACTTTGAAATGTTTTATGAGGTTTGGGAGAAGTTTGACTCCGAGGCCACGCAGTTTATAGAGTTTTCAAAGTTGGAAAGATTTGCAAACGCTCTGTCTGAGCCACTGCGGATCGCAAAACCCAACAAGATCCAGCTGATTTCTATGGACCTTCCTATGGTCAGTGGGGACAGGATCCACTGCCTAGACATTTTGTTTGCCTTCACAAAGCGTGTGCTAGGAGAGTCGGGTGATATGGACACCCTCAAACAGCAAATGGAGGAGAAGTTTATGACGACTAACCCCTCCAAAATTTCCCACGAGCCCATCACATCCACCCTGCGCCGCAAAATGGAGGAGGTAGCTGCGATCATCATCCAGAGATGTTACAGGAGGCATCTGGTGTGCCGGCAAATGAAGCAGGCATCATACCTTTACAGACAAATCAACTATGAAGTTGTGGTAGATGTCGAGAATGCTCCGGAGACAGAGGGGCTGATAGCCTCCATGATACAGCACTACGGACCTGTGCTTGTCGAGAGTGACCAGACAACAGAAGACACATTATTGTCCTCATCACCATTTTATCATACTCCAACCTGGGCAACCTCTCTGAGTCCCCCTGATCCCAGCAGAACAACATCTAGAGGRTCTGAACCGCAGGAGTCGAGTGAAAATTATGAGGAAACTTTCCTTTGAGACTTTCTAAAATGATCAAAACATCTTTATCTGTTTTGTTGACAGATAGAGTGCTGATGAAAATAAATTGTAGTCAAACCACTTTTTTATTGTTTTGTAAAATACAAAGTAAGCATGCAATATTTTACAGTAGCAGCCTCTGTCTCAGTAGAATAATGATACATAGATAAACTGTACATTGCAAAATGACTATGGTTTATGTAGTCACATATAGAGAGCAAGTGGAAGTAGTAAAGTTAAACTTGTCCTCACATCATCAGAAGGATTCAGTGTTACCTGATCAAGGGGAGAATGAGGTAATATTTTTCTATTTTCATACCTACTGTTTTTCTGAGAATTCAAAATGTCTGAAATGGATTTTCACACAGTAAAGGCCCTGTCACACTTTGTTTTAGACAGTGTGGGCCGACTTTTGAACGTTTTGTTATGAATAAGTTACTCAAATATAAATAAA